CACTGGAGAGAGGGCTATGGGGGCATAGTGTACAATCACAGTTGATGTGTATTATTGGGCACAAATTCAACGCGTGAAACAAAAAGGAAAAGAAAAAAGTGTTCAGGTGATATCCCCCTTTCAAGCCGTGTCAGAGGAAGAGTCATAGGATGCTGACACTATGAAGTTGCCAGTATTGGAATGGCTCGCCATGGACTGGGCAGCCTGCTGGCTCAAGTTATTGCAGATCAGCACCAGCTGGTTGCTCTGCGCTTCTGAGAGGGTGCTACAGCTCTGGTAGACGCTGAAGTTGGTTTTCCTGCCCGGGATGTTGCCTTTCTCGCACATCGTCTTTACCATCTTGGCAAGCTTGTTTTTCCCCAGGGCTTGGCAATTGTACCAGTGAAGCGCGGCCAAGTTGACGACGGGTTTGATGGACAGGTAAAAAGGCGCGTCCTCGTAGCGCATGGCTGGAGGCCGCCTCTGGGCATACTCCTTGTAGTCTTGCACAGGGCAGGTCTGTGGGGAGTGCTGGGTGGCGTACACCCGGGAGTCCGTCCCGCCTCTCTTGCTCTTGGCGCTGACATCTCCGTTGTCGGGCCCCATCCACTCCAGGTACTCCAACCCTGTCTCTGTCACCCGCAGCCGGATGTCTCCCCACTTGAGGGTGGACCCATGGAAACCCGTGCAGTGTCCAAACGCCTTGGTGTTGTTTAGCCAGACAAGGTTCAAAAAACGCCGCAACAAGCCCCTTTTGCGCAGGATAAGCTCATCAGCAAAGGTGAGCTTCATGGATTTGTGTGGCTTGTTTCCTTTTCCTTTACACCTCAGCTCTATCTGCTTTTGCTTTAGAGCTTCCTGGGACCTCTTGAACTCCTTATCCCTTGTAATACTGTATCCATACCTGTGCTCTTTGAGATACCGCTCCAACCCACACTGATAGTTGGCCAGACTATTTGGCTCGTATTCAGACCCATCCTTTTGTCTGGCATCCACAAAGAAGGAAGCAAGGTAGGCATCAAGCTCTTTGCAGGGGATGACGTAGATCTCCCGGGTCTCAGAGGGGTACTTGGAGATGAGGAACTCTCGGAAATTGCGGAGAGCTGTCTGCGTGCTGCGAATGGTCTTCTCGTTCTGCTCCCTGCTGAGCTCCGCTGCTCTCTCATCCTGGTCTGGAAGAGGGAAAAGGGAAAAGACAAGAGAAAGCAGAAGCAGTGAGTTTGTGCAACATGCGTTTCCCCAAAACAAATTTCCTTAAAAAGGAAAAAAAAGGAAAAAAAATTAAAATCAACTTCACAAAGAGCACTGGAAAACATCATTACATACCTGTCACATGACTGAAAAGCCAACTTCAGTTTCACAAATGATGTACTAGAGTATGGCACAAAACCAAAGTGAGCTCCTCATGACACTGGGGCACAGTTTTGTGCATGGAGATTTGTGGAAAACAGTGGGATTAGAGACAATCTGCTTTTTAGAACAAATGCAAGGTAGAAGGTTTTTCTGTGGATCCCAATGCTGTGTGCAGGGCCCAATCCGAGTAATAAGCCCATTCTGAATTGCTTCATTTGTGAAACCAGAGGTTGTACTGGTTTCAATTTTTTTCTATAAAAAATAACTAAAGCATCATATTTATCACAGTAAAAATTATGTTTAATCAGACACATTTTTAAAGAGCTAAATAAATATAGACAGAAATGTACAGTACAAAATAATGCAGCACATCCTAACAACGGAGTTGGCAGGTAAAAGTACTACACAGCAACGTGTAATTTACAAGTGTACAAGAATAAAAAAGATAGTTAATATGTTCACATCAGAAGTTATGGAAGAAAACATGATTATACAGTCTCTCTACATAATCAAGCTGTACCTTGGCAGTGGAAGTACAATTGTGATAATTTCTTTTCATTTTGCAGAAGAATCAAATTCTGGAAACAACTTCATATTGCTCTATAAGGCTATACTCAAAGGTCCTTACAATCAGTGACATATCAAACCACAATATTCAGATGCTACTGCTACGATGGTTGGTACTGACAACTGATTTTTGGGCTGATCATAAGATAAGCATAAAAAGGACAGTTTTTTATATGTAAGTGATGTGTGTACTTCAGGACTGTTTTCTTGGCATACGCAAACTATCCGTCTGCACAAGGATACAGCTTACAAGCACATAGGTGGAACTGTCATTATGAATGTGACAAACCTTAATGGTTTTAGAAAATGAACAGCAAATGCAAAGAAGGAAAAATTCAACAATTTGACTGTTCTCTGTAATTGTGAATGGAACATTCTTTTTTCTCTCTTCCATTTAATAAGCAGAAGAGGGAAAAAAAGCAAGTTCTTTTTTGTTCTATCTCATTGCAAAACCCATACATTTTGGTGTCCTTTCAGCAGTGCCACAGCAACACTCGCCAGGTGTTTCCCACCAACATACACACCACAAAGTGGTATGAGACCAGGTGAAGTTCCCAGTGCTTCTCTGTCATTCACGCTCAGCCCACGTCAGGCCATGCTGCACACCCATGCTTTGCAGCAGTACGCTTGCTCTTCGTGCCCACTCTGCCCTGCAAGCCTGTTAACAGGAGAGGCAGCAGGGAAAGGAAGGTGGCCCTATCTCCTTCCCTAGCCCACCTCCAATGTTTCATGCGGTGCAGAAATGTCGGTGCACAGCTGGGCAGCTTCCCCTTCCACCCATCTACAGAGTGACTCTGAAGAGAGTTCATCCCATCACCTCCACGCCACAGCTGCAGAGAGAGGCACTGGGAGTGACTCACCCCAGGACTTGCCAGCAGGCCAGAAACAAGGCTGAGTTTATATCCCACGGGACCAGGTTCTGTGTCTTCACTGCGAGGCATCTGCATCCATAGCACTCAGTGAAACCTATTGAGAAGGGTCCTCAAACGCTCTGCAAAGCACAGAGAAGCAGGGGTCTGCAACTGAAACCTTTGGAGGCTTCTGCAACCATGAAAAATACTGCCACAGAACACTGAGGTTTGCTCTAACTGTGCTCAAGGGGAAAAAGAAAAGGTCACCAGCCTGTTTCAGAAACTGGTTTTAATATTGATGTCAGTATCAAAGAGCTCCCAGCAGCCTACAGTGAAGTCTCATGCTTTAGGCAATGTATAGGATAGATCCTTTCATTATGGCTAGATGCACGCTGGAAATAAAGAGACAACGCTGTTTGAAGCGCCGAAACAAACATTTACTCTAGTACCTCGTTCACTGTACCCACCACCACTTATTATAGCACTGTGTAAGTAATCAGTGCTTTGACTGACAGCCCACATTTTAAGTACTGTTTCAATATAAACAGTACATATAATGGCTCAGTTTTATACATGTCATCAATCACTACTTCTTAGAGGATAGCCTGTCACAACACAGCAGTGACACCCAGTCAGTCATTTATGTTATGGCATCTTTCCGTAATCTGCAAAAGAAATTGCCGTATCTGCAGCTAACAGTTATAAAACCCATGCTGAATTAAAGATCCCCTGATGTTGCATGAGTGAAACAGTACCCCAGAAACACTGCATACATGTCATCAATCACTACTTCTTAGAGGATAGCCTGTCACAACACAGCAGTGACACCCAGTCAGTCATTTATGTTATGGCATCTTTCCGTAATCTGCAAAAGAAATTGCCGTATCTGCAGCTAACAGTTATAAAACCCATGCTGAATTAAAGATCCCCTGATGTTGCATGAGTGAAACAGTACCCCAGAAACACTGCATTACAAGGCAAGTGGGAAATGTTAAAGATAATGGGTCAGCTTCTTATCCAGCCACATTAGGAGAGCTATGTCAGTTTGACTGTAAATCCAGCCTGCAGTGGTAGCTGATTATTCTCTTCCTATGAGACCGCTCCAATATCAGGGATATCTCATAGCATGGGATGAATGCAGGGAGGCAGTGAGACCCAATGGACAGAGTCTGAGACAGCCAAAATCATCAGATGTCAGCTGAGCCACTGTCGTCATCTGCATACTCTCTTCATCCACAGCAAAAGCAGACGATGCAGCTGAGCCTAACTTAACTAAGACAGCTCTTTATAGCCTAGGATAGCTGAGGAAGGAGACATAATTCTTCATGTCATTAAAGTCTTACTTCTTCATTTAACCAAGAAGATTTCATAGTGCTGAAAGAAACCATATAATCCATCTCCAACTATCATGGAGACATAAACTGTATCCAGGCATGCTTTTAATATCGCCAAACTTTGTGTTTTCTGCTAATTTCATAATCTTTTTTTCTATTATTGTGGTGGTTGACCCTGGTCAGCACCTAAGCACCTCAGAGCCACTTGCTCACTCCCCACCACAGAGGGACAGGGAAGAGAATAGGAAAAGCAAAAGCGAGAAAACCTGTGAGTCAAGACAAAGACAGTTCAATAACTGAAATAAAGAGGAAAAAGAAACCCAACCGACAAGTAATGCAAAGGCAATCACTCACCACCTCCCACAAGTAGACCAATGCCCAGACACTCTCTGAGCAATGCCCACCTCCCCCAAAAAAAACCCTCCCTTCAGTTTTTATTGCTGAGCCTGATGTCGTAGGGCAGGGAATATCCCCTTGCTTAGTCTGGGTCAGCTGTCCCTGTTGTGTCCCCTCCGAACCTCTTGCCCACCCTAGGCCTAGCTGCTGGGGGGACAGAGTGGGGAAAAGAGAAAGCCTTGACACTGTGCAAGTCTGGCTCATCAACAGCCACAACACTGGTATGTCAGTAACACTGTTTTAGCCACAAATCCAAAACACAGAAGGGTATGGGTGGCTACAAAGAAAGTTAACTCCATCCCAGACAGACCCAGTACAATTATACCAATTATACCACTAATGAAACAGTGCCCAAGGCCAGGCACATCTTGCATCCTTTCCGTACAACCTTTGACAGGAGAAGACGACCACAAAAATTATTCTCTGGGTGCAGTCTGCAAATGGCCCTTGTAAAAATACTTACAACAAACCCATCTACTCTACACATTTCTACTTCGGCTACAAGAAATAAGTAGAAACGGAATCAAAAACCTTACCATAGTCTGGATATTTGGCACTGATTGCTTCTGCTCTAGACACATGGCCTTGCGACCTTGTCAGAGAAGATTAGACTGGTGTAATGTCATTTTATTCCTTACAGATCCACCCAGACTAACAGATAAAGAAAGGCTATATAAAAGTAATTCAATCATTAAGAACTCAAGACTGAAAGACATCTCAACTGCCATCATAGTGAATTTTTGAAAATGTGTATGTTATGGTAAGGATCTGACAAGCTGGGAGAACTGTTGAGGTACAAGACTCCATCTCTGGGTCTGGGTATTGAAAGCGAATGTTCTTGTCCTGACTCAGGCATGTTTCCACTGTAACAGTTCCCAGATGTTTCCTTGATCTCACTTTGCCCTATCTTGCTGAGCAGAGACAAAAGCTCTTTTGGCCAGGGCTTATGTTTTAATTTTCTCTGGTCCTGCTGGAAACTACTGAAAAGGCAGGTGGGGATCTACATTAGTTCCTTGACCACTGCAAGCATAAACCTGTTTGCTCTTGGGCCTCCACTGCTCACGGTCTCATCAACTCTTCAGTGTGCACAGGTTCCAAAAAAGCATTGAAAAATGTGAAATAAAAAAAGCATTGAAAAGTAAAAGCACTGAAAAAAAATCACAAAGAGCTCCTCAATACAAGAGAACACCTCTGTATCAGGAAGGCCCTGAGCTGCAAATTGCTGGAGGATAGGAGAGTGGGGAGGTGTCATATATGCTTGCGCCTTTCTTGTAGTCTTCTGTAGGTGTCTGTTGTTAGGCTCTAGGAAGACAGATACTCTCATGTTATGGTCTAATTTGTCTCGGCTAGTAAAACAGTCTGTTACAACCAACGAAAAATTATTGTCATCATTGATCTACCAAGCCAAGCTATCCTTAATACCTTTTCCTTGTCATAATGCAACCTTTGGAGTTGGTAGTGCTGTTACCCTGTGTTACAGACTAGGAGCAGAAACATAAAAACCAAATTGACTTGGAGATGCATCTCCTGAGGTCCTGCCCCCCCAGCTGCATCACTGCACAAAGGACCTGGTTGGAACTCTTGTGTTTCCTATCTGATCCCACATCGGAGTTTCATTTGCAAGAAAACCAGAACGTGGCAGAAAAAGACAGTAAAATCCACTCTACGGTGGGATCCAGGGTAAACTCCCAAGTAAGAGTTTGAAACAGTGCCGAGTAGTTTAGATGTCCCAGTTTAAATGCAGCCAAAGAG